TTAATTAAGAATTTAATGTTAGATTAAGAATTATATCATGTAGTTATGTTTACAGTATGGGTAGGGCTGTTTATTTAAATATGATTATACAAAATTATGGTAAATTTCTTTTACTAGATTATCCGTGTGTATTTGCACAATACTCAATATCTGTGATGGCTAGGGTTTTAATTTGCTGAAATTAATCCTCATTCAGTAATGACTCCAAACTTGATTAGGACTATTTGAGCCAACACAGATAATTACCAAAGTAATGTATATCATTTCCAAAGAACTACACAGTATCCCCTTTCAAGAAAGGGAGAAGATTCAACTTGCGCCTGTAAGTTAACCTCTACAGAGCACATTTTCAGTTTTAGTTGTATATCTGCTACATTCACCTATAATAACTTCTCTTTAGCCTCTCCCTCCTGACTCTGTGACACAGGCACAGTGATAGGTTACAGATGAAAACTTTTGTTTTAGAAATGGTCAATGGAATTCACCTGCAACAAGTTGTGTAGACACCCTCAACCGTAGCTCTTCACCTCAATCCTGACTATAACCAACCTTTTCATGGGAAATGCGACATACTTATGTTCACACATGGGATATCAACCAACTTCATTTTACAAACCTGTCACTTATATTTAGTAGAAACCCAACTTCTGCCTTGTAAGATTAATTGGAATCACACTTGCAACTTTCAATCTGAAGACACTAAGCTCCCCTATCAGAGTCATGGTCCACTTCGTGGTGGACAGTAACAGAGTACATGTATTCCAACACATAGTGACTTGAGTATATTTTTCCAGTATCTTTTGCTTTAACTTTAACATGTTGTTCACGAACTTCTGACGTTTAAAGACAGTGTGCCTTTGACTCTGCTGCAGCTTTATGAAGAAGCTCTTACTTTGAAGTAGAACCTTTTAGTCAATGAATGACTCGTCTTTTGTTTTTTAAAATGTGATAGATCATACTATGTGTTCATTGCTGCATCAAACTAAAAAAAACCAAAAAAAAAAAACCAAAGCAATCACAATTAACTTCTACACTATCAGTCATTTGATGTTGCTGCATGTTTGAACAACTCAGTTTTGAACCTGGCACTGCCCTACGATGGCTATATCGATAGAGATGAGGCAGAAGATGCTTCAAGTCTACTTGGAACTTAAATGAACTAGATTCCATTAGCTTTAAATGTGTTGCAGGCGTTTAACAAATACATCACTATCTACAAAATTGCCATCCAACTCTAGAAAGCATGTCGAGTATTAGATGTTTGTCTAATTCGAGAGATGACTGCCTTTTGTGTGAAATCAGTTGTTTTTATAGCCATTTCTACAGTCTTTGTATCACATTTCTACAAAACTTTATCTTTCAGATTCTACAGTGAGTCAAGACATTTCCGGTCGCTGCATCAGAGTCATTAGGTTCTGTCAATTTCCTGTAACAATACAACAATATGTTGACGGTAAAGTAGAATATACATTTTGAATACGTAAGTGTGTCAAAGGCAAGTACTCTGTAAGTTCACTCAAAGAAATTTGGCAAAGAAATTTAATTAATTAAGTCTTCCTTTCGAACTTTAGTACCTACACTGATAACTTAGAGACAATGGAGTGCATAGACAGGGTCTGTCATTTGTGCTAATTGTGCTAATTATGAAAGTGTCGCCCGTCCATGCCCAAGCTCCGCCCAAGTAGCTGAGTCATTCATACTGATGAAGGCTTGTCAACCTAGCCTAGGTATGTAATCAAATTACATAGACTAAGGACGATTTTGAATGTTTATATGTTTACATGTTACAGGATCATACACTGGGGCAAAAGTGTTTGGCTGACCATGCGGCCAAAGCATCCTGTCAAGTTCTAGTCTCCCACCCGCTAACAACTTGTTTCCTAATAATGTGGTTCTTTTGCAAGAAAGCTGCTGATGTGAAAGATCATAGGTTTGGCTTTCTCATGGATGAGTAAATATGTAAACCTGTGATCCCAATGACGGCCGCATGTGCTCCCACACATTTTTCCCTATAACAACATGACTAACTTACATGTCTCATGACTTGTCCATGCATCAACAATTGTCGGAAAAAACTACAATACATCAAGATCTACACCATCTGCAAGATAGTTTTACTGTTGCCTAACTGCTGTTGCTGATCGTCCACAGACAAGTGAAAGCTGTCCAGTCTCCTAGCGGACGAACCTTGCAAACAACATCCAACCAGGGGGACTGGCTTATATCAGAGAGTTCCAGAGGAAGACCGCCTCTGAAACCCTGCTGATCCAAGCCACAACACGTCGTGCTCGCCGTCCACCTGGATCACGCCTCCCATTGCAAGGAGAGACCTGCTCCACTATGCACGCAAAGCCGACAAGAACCTCCTACTATTTATGGACCTCCTCCCTCACTCACCATTTAGGATTACAAAAGAGACCCTTTTTGCGAAGAATCCCCGACACCGGAGCCGCACAAATGGATATACATCTCCAGCCATCTAGACACGACCAAGCGGATTGAACAGTGAATCTACAGACTTAGAGAAACAGGAAAACCAACTATCTCCAGATGACACAATCCCTGACTAACACGTATCCTGCTTTTACCCCACCACATCTTTGCACTATAACTCCACCAAATGAACACCAACCCTCTACCAAATCAGACAGTTATCCGGCAACCAACTTAACCCCAACTGTTATTCCCGTCCAACCACTCCTAAACCCCTCACCCTTGGAACCCTCATTTCCAAGCTGCGGAGTTATGGCATCACATCGACCAAATAAGAGACCTCTCTCATGCTGTCGAAAAATCTTGCAAACTCTACTGCAAGAGGCATGTCCGACTCACAAAAAAAGTGACTGCCATACGAAGAAAGACCTTTCAAAGTCGTGCCGCACTAGATTACCTCCGTTGCCTCACAAGGGGAAACCTGGCATCACCAGGACTAAATGTGTATTGACGTTCATACAAATAACAAAACTACCATACAAGAAATTCACAACCACACCACACGATATCGCCAACTATTACACGAGCCAGTCACCACTAGCTTGTTTGACTGGTTCAAACTGACTTGGAACAATTAGACTATTTGTACTTGCTTGGTTTTTAAATTTTGTTTTCATTAAGTCTCCTAATCAACGGTTTTAAGTCCATCATCAGATCACTCATAAAAAATAACTTCTAAAAATGATGGTAGTCCATCACAACTCACCTTGCCCTTTCAACAAAGAGGGCAATTGAGATTTATTTCAAAATGAAATTGATTGTTGACTTAAATTACGCTTATAATCCTACGTTTTTTCTTTCCATCCATACCTTCATTTGATTTAGCTTTGTTCGACAATTAATTTTTCCGATGACCTTTGTTTTGCTTGCTTTACTTTGCTCATTTGATTTGCTTTGTTTGACAATTGAATTTGTTCTATTTTCAACTGGACTTTTGTTTTACTTGATCATTTCCTTTTGTTTTATTTTTTGACTTTTTGATCATTTCCATTACATTTTGCTTTGTTTGACAATTGATTTTGTTCTATTTTTCAACTGATTTTTGTTTTACTTGATCATTTTCCTTTTGGTTTTATTTTTTTGACTTTTGATCATTCGATTTCATTTTGGCTTTGTTTAACGTTGATGTTTGCTTTAGTTTTGTATTCACTTTTGATCATTTTCATTGCAATTTATTGGTCAATTGATGTTTTGTTTTATTTTTTCGGGCATATTGACTTGTTTTATTTTGATTATCAATGATTTTTATGTTTTCATTTCAATTTGTTTTTGTATCAATTTGATTTTGCTTTGCTTGTCAATTGACTTTAATTTGTCTACTTGATTTTCTTTACTACATTTTCTCAACTTAATCGTTTAATTTTACATCACACAAGAATCGAATTTGTTTTATTATGTTCTAGTAATATTGATTACCATTTGTTTTTTGTTTTTTTTTGTTTTGTTTTGTTTTGTTTGTTTTGTTTTGTTTTGTTTTTGTTTTGTTTCACTTGATTTGCTTTTGTTTTTATACTTTATTTGATTTCATAAGATCTCATATTTTGCTATTTAATTGAATTTCCGTTACGACCTGGTCTAGTATAATGACAATTATCCTGAATCTTCACCCAGTTTTGGGTTGCTTAAAAAAAAAAAAAAAAAAAAAAAAAGAGTGGATTGAGGAAGAATACAATCCTTTAGTATTAAGACTGGCTAGCACCTAAAACAACCCTACAACCCCACTGAGTTAACTTTTGATCCTTGATCAAGGAGATACCACCTTCCTTGTTTCTCAACACCGTCTGTTCTTCCCCTTACATCACCAACACTTCATTGTCTTAACAACATCTTACTAAGCAAATATCTTACCTGTAATGTTAATTCAGTTAGGGGCCCTGCTGCCCATATCCATAGATATTGCTGACTCCTAAACCTCCCTAACCCCTACCCTACCCCGATTTAACGTGAACAAGGTGCTTACACTCTACTTGATAACATTATCTTTTTGTTATAAACTTCTTTTCCTGCTTCATGACAATGTCGTAACCAGTATATGCAATACAGTGTCCATTCCTTTTCTGTCTTTCCTGTATAACTGGGCCCCTGCCCTACACTCGGGGTCAGTCTACTGCCTCAGACCCGCTCTGTGTCAGTTGGCTCACCGTATCCTGGGATACCATTAAACTTACTTCCGTACAGCAAACTTCAAACTAAGGACTTGAGTGAATTTTCTTCAACACTTGGTTACCAAATGACTGATATAAACACGTACTTAGATCACTTCCTGAACAGCTGACAGATGATTTATTAGTAGCTCAGCTTTTAAAATCATGAACCAGAAACTACTGTAGCAATTCTGTACCACAGTTTGATAGACAGCTTTCACACCTGGAAGATGAACCAAACACACCCAAGTCCATTTGAACCAAACAAGTCAGGTATGAAAGCAGTAACTCCTCCCGGTCCTCACAGGAAATAAAGCTGTCTCTTTAAATTACACTTTCATCTCATCCATCTCATCTGCTATTTGACTGTTTCACCATTTCACCTGTTAAGCCCGGCCCATAGGGGGCACATGTTTACAGGATTAAATCTGAGTCCTCCTTGTCTCCATGGACTCTTTACCTCCTCTCCCTGACCACCGCCTCCCTCCTGGCCTCCTGCTCTGCCTGTCTGGCCTGCAGCAGGGCCTCCCTGGCAGCCTTCTCCTCCTCCTGGGTTTTGGCGTAGCGGACTGCTCTGTCAGCTCGGTCCTGCAGGACAGATAAAGTGTGGATAAAGCAAAAAGGCTAATGGATACTGTATGTATGCACAGACCTGGTTCAAGCTGGTAATCTCATGTGAATTCAGGCTTTTGTCTTGAAGGAACTTCATATCACAGACAGGTGTTGAGTGAGTTTTTTACAGAAAACCACAGTTGACAAGGTTAGGTGGTGCTGATACTGATTTTAACTAGTGTGGTGGTCACAACAACAACAACAACAGTATGAAAGAATCCTGAACAGGACCTTAATTTACCTCAACCACAGACAGAAAGAGACATTACAGACAGTTCAGATTTTAGTAAGATGCCCTGTTTTCTGGTTTATTCTGGTTAGCTTCACCAAGAAGATTATATTTTCACCTTTGTTTGTTTGTTTGTCAGCAGGATTACACAGAAAGTAGTGAAATGATTTGAACCAGACTTGGTGGAGGCCTGGGTCTGGGACCAGAGAAGAACTCATTAAATATTGGTGCTGATGTGGTTAAAGGGGTGGATGCAGGAAGTTTTTATCACTTTCCTCAACACTGTGAGATAGAGAACATTTTTCTACATGTTCATCAGTTTCTCAGTAAATAATGGCTGTTGTAAGAACCGCCCACCACTACTCACCAAGTATGATGTCAACAAACCCTGTTCTTACATGGATGATTTGGCATAGTGCGCTGGTGTATGTGGAAGAGGCTACAACACCGACTCAGCTTAATCATTGGGGAGGATCATTTCCAGCCAGGTGGAGCAGACCCAGGATTTAAGACCTGAGCAGTCCGTCCTTATTCAACATCTGCCTTCTGGAAGTAAAATGCTGGACAGAAGAAATAGACGACCTGAGCCATTTCAATGTGGCTGAAAAGATTACTTTTAATTTTTTTCCATCAGAGAACTAACTTGAGGTTTTGGAACATCTGTAACTTCCTCAAGTGTAATAATATTCAAGTCGAAGGATGAAGTAAGGGCTGTGCGTGTTTCATTATGTGCCTGCTATGCAAAGCATAGAAGGCTTATATTACAATCCTGCATACTTCTTATTACTCCTCTTCTGTATAAAATTTCAGCGCATAACTAGTCCTGCAGCTTTGACAAAACCCAGACAATATAACAATATATCTCAAAACATGCGGCTCGATCACAAGTAAAGAGCTATGACTTTTCTTAGCAATTTAAGTAACCATGGTGATGGTGACGTAAACTGCAAAAAATTTCCAATAAAGAATGAATTGGGAGACATTGTGAAAACAACCAAAACCACCCCTTTTTGGAGCTCTACTGCTTCATCATACCTTTAACATAGAAACATGGTTGACACTTTAAATGGGTCACGAGACTTTTTTGGGTTAAGTTGATATTTTGGTTATGGTTTTCACAAAATCTCAGTTTACATTTTGAGTCATTTTTAGACGGTCACAGATTTTATAATGGGTGTGTATTGGGAGAATGTTGAGAATTAGAGTGGATGACATCACATGCATTCTAACTGCCATCCCTGAAAATATTCAAACAATTTCCAACCTTCATAATTAAGTTATATACAAAAATGTAGAGTTTTGTCCTCTATCACCCAGTTTTGGTCTCATTCTGATATCTTTTCTGATTTTTGACTAAATCCCCCCTAAGTGCAGAGAGTACTGTTCAAATCTCCCATAGACACCCATGTTAAACTGATCTTAAAACAGAGTTGAGGGGAATTTTTAAACTGCAATAAAACCTCAAATGTAATCAGTAGGTACACATATAATATATCAATGTCTTTATTGAAGTATTGGGACGCTTTTTCAATACGACACAAGTTTCATCTTAAAACCTGTTGTCTGCTTAGGGTTACAGAGTGGATTGTGTGTGAGTATTTCCCTCCTCCCCCTTGTGGCCACAGTTGCCATAGCAACCAGTGTCTCATCAGGTGCTACTAATGCAGTATATGGGCAGAAATGGATAAAGCTGATTCTGATTGGTTAATTAGACTCATTACTCAACACTGTGGATGTGCATGGACTTGTGTGTGTTTTTAGTTTACTGGACATTCCCAACTGCCCCATAATGCATTATATCTCTTCAGACTGTATGTTGGCAGTGGAAATCTACAGGATCACATCATCACCTGTAGAAATACTCAGACTTCATAAAATCACATGTTCACAGACTGAAATTACAACAGACTTTAGTCTGCTGTAAAATCTCAACCAGTCCTCACTGTCACTGCAAGGGTGTGTGTGTGAAATGCATTCTGGGATACTGGCTGAATACTGAATACTACAATGTGAGCATTCGGCATAGTGGTACATTTAATTGGTAGAAGTTAACAGTGCATACTCATTGAGTTTGTAGTAGGCAGTACATTAGTTGGCAGTACGTTAGTAGGCGGTTCTGAACACATCCAATGTATGGCTCCAGATCAAAATAAGAATCTGGATCTGGATCCAGATAATTTGGATCTAACAGACGTGTAGGATTGTTTGGCCCTGGCAGAGTTGTGCGCTCTACTGAGTGTCATTCCAGTTTTCATTTGCTGTTGATCCAAACTCCACTCTTCCTCCATGTTGACCTGTTGTCTTGATGATGACCTGTTTTCACTTAAGCCTAGACTGACGTGGGACTGATGTGGAGCTGATGTGGGACCAATCAGACTCTCCTCTCATGGTACTGAAGATGGATAAGAATCTAAAGTGTCTAAAACTTTTTAAATCTTTGGGGAATTCGAGATCCACTGTATAAGCTTGCAGACTCTCTACCTGTTTTTCATGCTGTTGTATAAATGCTAAATAACAATAACAGATCTCTCCAAAGTCAAACATCTGCAGCAGGTGTAGAGCTCCAGATTAACAGCCTCAGGGTTCTGTCTTTATTAGGGTTCTGCCTTTATCTTTATTTGATAATCTCCAGTATTCTCAGTTAAGTGAGGTTAATATAGTTTAGGTGTTGGTTGTAAAACCCAGTCGCAACTTTAAAAACTGGAATGATATATATTGTACAGCAGATGGACACTGTTTATTCATTTCCTTCACATTTAAAGAAACAAAGATGAGGTTACCATGGCGATCTGCTGTTTGACCCGCTCCCTGGCAGCCTTCTCCTCTGCCTTCTCCCTGTTCCTCTCCTCTAGGAGGCGCTTGGTCTTCTCATCCTCCTGTTTCTTTTTAAAGTCCTGCATGTCCTTCCCAATCTTCCTCCGCTCCATCTCCTTCCTGATATCATTCTGATCAAAGGAAACAAAAGACACACACACTGAGCATTTTTATCTATTCTCAGTATTAACATGCGGGAGCAGCAGCAACAGCACCCTCTGCTGCCACAAGTGTAATTACAGAGTTACTGCATTTACTCCTGTTGATATGTGACCACTGTTCTAAAGGAGAGAAACACTCAGACAGAGTTCAACACAGGACTGAGACAGCGAGGGAAGGAAACATGTCTTCATAAGTTACAGTTTCACTTTTTAACCAGCAGCCACACATACACACACGCACGCACGCACGCACGCACGCACGCTCGCACGCACGCACCATGAGACTGTCTCCTTACCTCCTCCTCTCCTTTCTTCCTTTGCTCTCGTCTCTCCTCCAGTTTCTTGGTTAACCTGACGGAACAATATAAAGACATCACATTCACCTGGACAATGGGAAAGGGAACTGTAGCAGACTGTTTAGTGTATCACTGCATGATATTTCTGTCTCTGCTGTTGATCTCTCCCAACTACAGTCTGAGCAGTTAGATGTGTTCGGTTGATGCAGATTTTCAAAACTTGTGAGACAGTTTATTGACAGCTTCAGGATATTAAGGTCAGATTAATGTCAGTGATTCAATAAGCAGGTAAATCTCACCTTTTTGAAGCTTATTTTACACAGTTGTTGTCACTGTGTCGATGGTACACTACACAAGGCCTGTTTGTGAAGCTGCTGGTGTGACGTCAGATTATAGGTGAGTAAACTCTGGTTTCTGGCTGTAACTAGACCTGGATTCGTACTGGACTCCATTATAATGAAGGGTCTTTCTAATGGGACTGATCAATAGTCTGCTTGGTAGCCTACAATGTGTTTAACTGTTGTTTTCTCTTTGGCTGCCATGTGACCTACACTTCAGTACTAACACATGTCCTGTCTACCACATATATGTGTGCTCATACCTGTCCACCTTGGTGTCCAGGTTTTCTTCACTCTGTGAACACTGAGCAGCTGAGAGGCTGCCATCATCTGCTGGGCTTGGCAGAGATTCTACATACAACAGGGACACAGAAGGGAAGCACCGTTATCTGGCTGCTTGACTGTTTGTCAGCACAAAGCAAACAAAGTCTCTCTGTTTCATCTACTGTAATGATAAACTATAGAATCTCACTGAACCCCTTCAAGGTTAGAGAGCTACCACTAACATCAGCAGCAAGAATGGTCCAATCTGACCACCAACACCTCAGCAGACAGTTATTTTAACCTGACTGTACACCGTCACCTCACTAGACTCCTCGGACATGTTAGAGAACACTGAATGAGGAGACTGTTTCTCCTCTTCATCAAGCAGCAGCAGGCAAGACGCACTGTGAACAGTCACCAGGATGATTCTCATTCTCTTTGCAGGGTGAATGCATTTCACGCAGATTATCATCACTGCGATCTGAAACATCATTTCAGGTGGTAAATGACTACAGATTATTTAAACACTGATATTAGCAGCACTCTGTTATGTCACACTGTGGACTCTTTTGGAACCTCCCTACTTTCCTCTTTCTGTAATGCTAAAACATTATACTTACCTGGAGGTTTCATAAGGTAGAACTGCCAACTTATTTCTCTTACATTTCACAGTTTTAAAGAAAACCAGACCAAGTATAAACGTGGTTCATGACTGGACCGTATGTTGATGCCGACCAGGGGCTCAGGGCTACACCTCTTGCTACAGGCAGTCTACTGAGCTGCTCTGGTGTCCCAGCTGCTCTGAGAAACACTGAGCCTCGCCTCTATTACAGCAAATAAACTACTTTCATTATATGTATCATTACATCATACAGGAATAACTAGATACACCAAGCAGAGAGAGCAGGATAGAGGGAGGGAGAGAGAAAAGTCATGGGTTACTGCTAAAGACACTAGCAGATCTGAATATCATGTAAACAAAAGCAACCGGAAATGAGACAATACTCTAACTGCAGCACAGCAATAAAAGCCCTATAAAAGAAATAAGGGGTTTCTGTCGACTGAAACGCTAGAAGACTTTTAATTTGAAATGCTTACAGGAAGTGTTGAGTTTGTTTTAACATGTAATGCAGTAAATTTAACACAACTGATGAGAGCGACTTGAAACGAGGCTTCGCCCTGAAATACAACTATGATCAATTCTACATATTAAACAGAGGGAGTTAGACATAAAGGCCTTCCTTTAATAAACATGCAGTAGGTAACTCACGTTACTCAGGTACCTATTGCAGGTAAATAAAGGCACAGTGGTTATATACAGTGGTTGAACACTGTTGTGGATCAGCTGTTAACACCACCTGATGACGTGATAGAAACCGTCCGCCCAGGGCCCTGGTCCCAGGTGTTCACCCGGACAGCCATAGAGGTACTAGGTGCTACATGGGGATTGGGTGCTGGTGCTGCATGGGTCCCATCGCAAATGACAGTAGGTGGGTTTTTTTAGGGATGGGCAGACCCTCTTCCCTTGGATCTGAGGGGTTTCCCACCAAAACCCCAACCCCCACCACAATCAACCAGCTAGGTTGAGCACACCCCCTCCTGATAAAGGAGCGATGAAAAAAACAAAACAAAACAAAACAAAACATGATGGCCGGTTCTGGTCCCCTCTATGGACCCCCCGAACCCCATCCTCACCCACAATCCAATCAACAGACATACACACACATCACACATACACAAGCTACTTTTTCTTCCTTTTTTCTTTATGTTATAATTATGAGCGTTTACAAGCTGATGCTTATATGTGTAGTATTCGCATCATAAATGCAAAACCTCAATGCCATTCTATTCCGTCTCATGCACCCCGACACAAGTGTTTGTTTTTTTTAAATTTCATTTCATTAATTTATTTTTCGACTACCTGTAATTATTATCAATACTCCTCCATATTTTCCTCTTCTCATTTTTCTTCGTTGTATCCTCTCTTATATGTTTAGTCCAACCTTTCTCACTATTGTTACATTTGTCTTCACTTTTTTTGTAATCACTTAATTAAGGAATAAAAAAAAGAAACTGTTTGTGCCAAATCATTTTGAAAGAGCAACATCCAAAAGGAAAAGTCCAACTTTGGCCGGCCGACCAATAGTGTACTTATAGGTAATTTATAGGTTATAGGTCTGGGTCTGGACCCGGGCTGCGGTCCGCCTTTTAGTGACCTCACCTTTTGCTGTTTCTGGTACTGCTGCAGGTTCTATGGCTTCTGCTGCTGACCTAATGGACACCGCTGGAGCTGAGGCTGGAGCTGAGGCTGGAGCAGGTTCTGTGGCTGTGCTGTTACGTGGGCTGGTCTCCACAGGAGGACCTGCCTCTGGTGACACTGTCACACCTCCAATCTGCTGAGCATGCATCTGTAAGAAAACAGGGAGGATCATGAGCAGGAAGAACATCTGTAGATTCAGTAACCTGAGAGGCTCAGGTGTTGAAGGTGTGTCATCTTCATGTGTAGGGTTGTAATTTACTGGCTTTCAGATGCACACTAGCTGCCCCACACACCTTGTGTTCCATTGTAAAGTTGGTTGTGCACATCGTCAGAAATCAACACTGTGTGATTTAGCAAGATGCAATTAATCACATGGGGGCAGCAGACAGAAAAAACTGCAACAACAGAGGAAAGCTCAGGAAAGACACAGCCTGCCATCACTTTCTCTGCCCTGATTTTAACATTATAACCAGTGTCCACGATGTGCTTCCATTATAACCAGTGAGCTGTAAAATCATTATTTTACAATCACAGCATCATCAGAAGAAATAAAGAGAAATCCAAGTTAATGACAGCAGCTGTGCTGTAAATGAGCTGCTGTATTTATTCAGATGTTTCTGCTGAAGATGCTCCACTCCTGAAAGTGATCACAGTGAACACTGAAACCAACACAGAGCTGTCTCAGTCATACGGAAACAGCTGATATACAACACAAAGTGACGCTCTGAGGAGGTGCTGTGACCTAAATGCTAACATCAAGTCGGCATTCCTAACATTAGACACAACGTCCGACTGAGGCTGATGATAGTCGCTGTTCTGGTATCTGGTCATAAACCAAAGTACTTGACAAATTCAAATATGAGCCTTATGGCGGCGCTAGAGGAAAAGCCAGAGAATCATTAAGGTGTATGATCCATCCTGAGTGGAACATGAATGCCTGAGTGCATCACTAGATCAAAAAGACACAGTAGTGAGCTCCCTGTCACTTAAACTGCATACAGTCCCTCCTTTGTGTCTGTACCTGCTTCACTCTGTTGATTCTCTTCATCAGTTCTTCAGCAGACACACTGCCGGGGATGACCTCCAGAGGAATCCCATTCTCTCCAATGAAGAAGCTAGAGGGTACGCACACCACTGGGTCTTTACACGGGGGAAGGGTTAAGGAACAAGCTCCAAGCTACTGACATTTTGAAAGCATAATAAATGTGTTTCTTTACCACTAACCTGGTTAATGGTAATCTTTAATCTGTAATGTTAGTTTGGGTCAATAGCATCAATTGGTTCAGTGACTGCAGCAAGGTAACAAGTAGTGTGAGAAACAGGAAATGCTTAGAGCAACAAAAAGGATACAGAACTGGCAGAACTGCAAACATGTGTCACTGTGGAAAGAAAGACACAGCATCATGTGGCAAAACTCCACATCAACATATCTATGCTATAAATGTATGACATCACACACATGTCAGACTGACTGCACTAAACCGGCTGCTGGTGTGATTGAGATGGAGAAGTTGTTGAAAATCAAACAATATTTGAAAGAACAAATATGAAGAAGTCTGTGAGAAGTAGAAGCAGTTCTACTTTTTTCAAGTTGTTTGCACATTTAAGGATATTGATTTTGTTGAGGTCAGCCATATTGAAGCTTTAGACATATAGTTTTTTTTTTTTTTTTACAATCAGCTTCATATGTGTTACTAAAGTTACACCAGTTTCCTACAAGTCAAACAGAAAGTCGTAGTGTAGTAAAAGTTACATACATATAATTTCATTGTAAATGGCTTCATAGACAGTTTGGTTTCTCTCAGCAGGTCAGTATGACAAATAAGTACGTGTGGATTATTTAATATATGTATTTACACAACAGGAAGAAAAAAAGTCAGTATGGTAAGTTAATGGAAAAGATCAACTTCTGGTTCTTTCATTAATGAAATACAGAACAATCTACCCAAACCCTGTGTTCCACAACACAGACAATAAAAATCCTGACAGAACATGAACAAAATCCAAAAATAAGATCATGACATTGGGTAAATACTTGTAGTGACTTTGAAGACTGAATTTCTTTTTTTTTTTTTTTTAATTTCAACAGACCTCGCAGCAATCCAGAATTCTGTACACTGAATACACTTAAGACCAGTATCCACTGCAAAACTGCTGTTACTCCAGGGTCCCCCCAGGAAACTGGTACATACTGCTCCTGCTGAGCTGAGTCACACACACTACTTGCTAAAATAAATGCAGTGTGATGAAACACTCCCTGAAGTTTCATATTACATTTCATTCAGGTGTAATAATGTCATGGTGTTAGCAGGTTCAGGAGAGGTGTTGTACTTCGAACATAATATAATACAGTGATGATATGAGGGCCATGCTGTAATGGAGCTGATAGACTAAAGCAGGGAGGGATTCATCACTGTTTAAATGATGTGACATTTTTCACTGAGAGCAGAGACTCTAAACAGTCTGGTCTCTGTGTCACCATAGGAGACTGTATTCTAACAGCTGGTTTACAGCTGAGACATCATGTTTTACTCCTGTGAGACTGGTGACAGTTCCTTTGTGAAACCCTCCTCAAAACAGTGACCTCAGCTGCAGCTACACATTAGTACAAGGTTCTGTATGTAACTCATCAGTACCTCTTGGCGTCCACTCTGATGGCCACACAGCAGTTGAGTGCTGCCTCTGAGACCTGGTCATCCTCCCAACTGGACATCAGCTGTGCGGACTGTTCGTCCTCCCCTGAGAACAGAGTGATGACAGCTCACTGTCCACACATTAACCATCCTGACACATCATGGTGGACCGGCTAACACTGCTAACAGTGACGTCTGTGATACAACATGACCCAGCTCAGGCTGCTAAACACAGGTTATTTGGCTAACCTGTGGCTCCCTGTGTGAACCGACTCTACCCGTCCTGTCAGGGGTCTCTTATTCATGACCGGACTGATCAGTTAGCTGGCCTGACGTTAGCCGGTGCTCTCTGGAGCGCTAAGTTAATCTAGTTAGACTCTCATTACACCGTTACACAGGCCGGTAACCTGCAGCTACAGCTAGCGTCATGTCCAGGTCACTAGTTTCTGAATGTCGGTGTAATTACGTATCGACACGTCTTGTTTCTTTGACAGTTGGTAGGCTATGCTAGCTGGCTAATGGCTACCACGGCTAGCTGGCTAGCACCCCATCACTTGTTACCTATGCAGGCTAAAGTTAGCACGCTAGCTAATGGACACACTCACAGAGTTACCTGTAATGACTACGACAAAAGCGAAGCTCCGCTGTTTCGCAGAGTTAATGGCATCAGGAATGGAGCCCTCAAACCAACGCATGTTTCCCGGCTGTGTGTTCTTGTCTGCTTCGGTGACGCTGTTGAGCAGCCGAGCTAACTGTCACATCGGTTCATAAAGCCTCGTCAGCCCGTCCTGAACCGAAGTCTAAACACGGAGCTGTATCCTGATCAGCTGGGGGAGGTTCATGTGACTAGCCGTCATGTCTCCGATATACACCTATGGTTCACTCATGGACATGACACTGCGTAACAATGACGTTAACAGGACTTGTTTACATCAACTGTTTACATCAACTACAAATCAAAGAAAAGGAGGAAGTGTCTTTTAACGCAAAACATCACACATAGAAAAACACAAATGCCACCAAACTATGTAGATCAGTGACAGCAGAAAATAAAACCAGATTTGAAAATACCCTGGATGCTTCCACTGCCATTGTTCATCCAGATTTATTTCAAAATGTCTCATTATTTACTGTTGAATATTAGGTATATTTACTTCAGTTAAGTCCTGAAATTTAAAATTATGAACAGATTTTTCCCAGCATAGTTTTAATAGTATATTGACTTTTACAGTGTATTTAAATTTCAGTGTGTGTTTATAATTCTGCCTTCCTGGTCTTCCATACACCAGAGCCCGTCACGTTGCGTCGATTGAATCCAGCTCAGAGTTTCACTTTTGATTTAGAGTAAGTCGGAGCTGAAGTGACGAGTTCTCTGTTCTCACTGTATTCTACTGTGTTCTCACCCTGTTCTCACAGGAGAATAAAGCAGACAGGAAACAGAGCAGGTAAGTTGTGTTTACCCATAGACTGTGTATAAAAGTTTTTACCCATCTTTATTACGCACTTTGTTAACGGAGCTCGTTTTCATCGGTCAGGTCATGGCTGACATGTACAACAACAGGCCTGTAAATGACAAGGTAAGAAGTGCTCCGGTGTTTGGACACTGCTCCGTATTCAGTGATACTGTATGCAGTCCTCAGTGATCCGGTCGGGTTGGTAACAGGACTTTTTGTTGTTGTCAGGTGAACGGTGGTCTGGCTGGTCTGGATGAGGCCAAGAAAGACCTGGAGATGTGGAAGGTAGGAGACCTAGTTCAAAATAATTCACCCCCTTCAGCCTGTCATTGAGGAGCAGGTCCCTCTGGACCTTGTGGTCTTAGCTCTTAAGTGAGATCAGGTCACAGAAAGCCATCATTGTACGGATAAAAACACTTCCTGTTCAACAGTCCTATGAACAGCCACAGTGGAAGTATCAGAGTACTCCTTGATTTAAGTAAAAGTACCAGCAGTGTAAAATACTCAATTACAGTGATACTAAAGTGAAAGTACTGAAGTATTACATGTAACTGGTCAATACTTTCATTAATCAAAGTTGATAGGTTTGACTGGACAATATCTAAATAAGAGCACAACAGGGTCAGTCGGCGTCTACCAAAATGACCAGATTAGTTTTGGTGGGTCAGTCCAAGCTAAAAGTCCCAGAACAATTTTACTCCCACTCCGTCCCTCGTGTCAGGTACGTGTCAGGTGTGTGCAAGTCAAACTCATGCTCAGCTGGAATGAGGTCAGGTGATCATTGCTCTGCAGCAGTACTGTGGTGCTCTCTGAGTGTTCTTGAATTTGAGCCACAGTTCTTCTGCCTTCTCTCAATCTGGATGGAAAAACCATCACAGTAAAGCTGAGTCAGTTGAAGGTTTTCTCTGGTCCCTCCTGTGGTCTCATTTGTCCAGGCTGAGATATCTGTCTTTGGGATTTGTAAACTCTGTGAAGAGAATTTAGTTTAGAATGACATGTAAACATGTCATTGTAGAAATGTTGTCCATGTAAATGTGGTAGTCCACCATCATAGTCAGGAACTGGACTCCCCTACAAACTGCCCACAGGTTCAGCTGTTTTCTCTGAAACTCCTGTTTTATTTATTTATTTGTTTATTTGATAGTGACAATACATGTTGATGAACGTCAGTATAAAATACACAATGTAAACAAGCCAAATTGTAGCAAAAATGCTAATTTACATCCTTAGTCCCTGGGCAGGTAACAGACAACAACAAACATCACAAGTATCAATACAAATAAATACACAAATAAAAAGACAAATAGAGTTAAAGGTGATCACAGATCTGCTTGGGCTTAATGTTTGAGGTATGTCTTGAGGGTGGGACATGTAGGACACTTTCTTATTGCGAGTGGTTTTGTGTCTTAAGATTAAAGCAGAGAAAGCTGATGATGTAAAATCCAGGCTCATAGTGGAAAAACTGGAGGAAGATGAAGCCAAGGTGAAGGCCAAACAGGAGATGTTGGCTTGGGTGGAAAAGAACAATGAGTATCAGAAGGACTTCGCTCAGAGCCTGAGCTCAGTACAGGTAGGTTACTGTCAGGTCTGAAACATCTGCAGGAGAAATGAGGCGGGACAATGAGGAGCTCATCTCTACTTTCCCTCACTCAGGACGAAATCGGGAAGCTTGCTAAACGCAAACAGGATTTGCTGGGCAAACTGATGAGATGTCAGGCTGAGCTGGAGGCTAAGAGGGCCGAGTCCACCAAACTGAAGCAGAAATTCAAGGTGAAAAGCAGACTCTCACTGCATCCATTTCTTTTTAACAATCAAAACAGTCAGATAATACAACAATACTCTGGCACATCGTAGAACAATAGTGATAACGCTCTGCTCTCCAGATCTATGCCCTGATTCCAGACACAGAGGTGAGGTTCACCACTCAGGACAAAGAGGAGACGGATGACGATAGTCAGCCAATCAGAGGAGTGTTCACCATCAGCCAGAGGTCCACTGTGATCCTGCAGGGAGGGCAGGCACTCATCACCTTCGAGGAGGAGAAAGGTACACAGAACTTCATCACTGAGAGAGAAGTTCGTCTTCATGTGAATGTTACTAAACCAAAAGACTGAGGCTTACAGGGAGTGTTCAGGATTGACTGGTTGTGTCACATACACACACACACACAAACAAGTATGTGTTTATGAAAGCAAAACAATTAAAATATCACGAGTTCAGTTTGACTCAAACTGAAACTGATTAGCTGGACTATGTCTCTAAATGAATATGGGAAGGTGAGAGCAGCTCACCTGCACAGCCAATAACAGGACTTTTTATTAATGTTGTTTTGTCTTACATACTGTATGTATTTGTTTCCAGAAAAGGCTGGACCTTCCCTATATGTATAACCTGGATGTTACATTTTAGTCAGAACTGATATTGGACCCCAGAGTAGAGACAGAACACAAAACACACCAGCAATAACAGTGCAAGGGAGCTTATTGGGGAGAAGATAATAGTGGTGGTGAAAGCAGAGGGGGAGTGGGTCCAGGGAATCCAGATGTCTGGTGAGTACACAAGGCAGGAGTACAGAGGACACTACAGACCAGAGGCAGGTGAGTAACACACTCCGGAAAAACGAGGGGCGGCTGGAGACCAAAGGCAGGTGGGTGTTGTGGCGTGGGGACAGCAAAGTGTGGCAGGATCAGCAGCCCACAAATCAGGAAGTCTTCTGGAGCACAGGAGAGGAGATCAAAGAGTTAATACAGACAAAAACACCAGGGAGATCACTGAAACACTAGATGACTGTAGTCACGCACACTAATCAGAACAGCGAGAGCGTAACTACCACTGTGAAGAGTAGAACAATCTGGCAACAAATGGAATGGATTGCCGGGGTAAATACACTGCAGATGATGACTGATAGATCGCAGGTGTGGTGGTGAGCTGCCGTCCAGACCACGCCTCCGCTGAGTCACCTGATGTCAGGGGAAGCATACAGACACACACACATACACAGGGGAGGGGAGACAAACAGGAAAAGGGGAAAAACACTGGGAGACACAGTGGGACTGTGACACTGGATATATAGTGTGTAATACAATATACTGTATATAAACTACCAGCTGTCTGGTGGCCCACTCTCTCTGCTTTTATTCTCAATACACAATACATAAGTACCTCTAGCAGCAAAGTCTTCAAACCATGTCTCCTGATGGCTGTTGCTCTCAGTGACACTGATCATGGTGTAATGAACTAATAAGACCAGGTCTAAACCTAGTATCTGTTTGGACCACGTCCTATCATCATTCAGCATATGGTCAGCAGCTGGTCTCAGCTCTTAGTCTGTCTGCTTGCTGTTGTCTGTCAGTAACTTGGTGAAATTAAACATTCACATGAAGAAGAACTCCTCTCTTAGTGATGAGTGGATCCATTCTGAGATATTGATATTGATATAAACTCAATAATTTGGGATAAATGTGTATTTTATCATTAACGGACACAGTAGAAAGTAACTACACTCAGCAGGATCTGGCCTAAATAAGATCTGGTTGATAGGAACTATTTCACCTTCCGCCTGCCATAGTCATATGTGAACCATGTCTCTATAAAAGAATAACTGAACAGAGTGACAATGTTGATGGCTGACCGTCAATGTGGTCTTCAGTTCTCACACTGTGTGTGATGTGTGTTAGGACTGTGAGGTTCTGTGGCAGCACCACAAACCTCGTTAAGCCTCTGAGATTTAATCACAGTAAAGAACATGAGGTCTGGAGAAGAGGAGAGGAGCTGAGTGAGACAGACTTCACAGCATCATCCAGTTACAGAGAGTTGATCACTGTCACTGGGACAGAGACTCACATCTGTCCAGCTTCAGTCTGTGTGTTGATGTTCAAACAGCTGGAGTTCACTACATTCTTCAAACAACAGAACCCAGCGTTCTCCCAACTGAACCTTCATTCATATCATTTCAATCATTTTAACTCAAACCTTTTATTTTGGTTAGTATTTGGATGAAGAGACTCAAAAACAATAATGAACCAGTGTGTTTACACTGGGGTGGAGGAGGGGTGAGTGTCAGCCATGGTCTGAGCCAGCAGGGAGCGCTGTTGCTGTGGACATGTATGAACAAGAAGACAGGAACAGGAACAGACACAGAGTGACCTCACTGGAGACCAGTCCCATTTGTTTCAGCACCAGTGACCCACCTCACTGTGATGACCAGACTGTTCTCTGTCATGTTCTCTGTCATGTTCTCTGTTCTCTGTCATGTTCTCTGTCCTGTTCTCTGTCATGTCCTCTGTTCTCTGTCATGTTCTCTGTCATGCCCTCTGTCATGTTCTCTGTTCTCTGACATGTTCTCTGTTCTCTGTCATGTCCTCTGTTCTCTGTCATGTTCTCTGTCATGTCCTCTGTCCTGTTCTCTGACATGTTCTCTGTTCTCTGTCATGTTCTCTGTCCTGTTCTCTGTCATGTCCTCTGTTCTCTGTCATGTTCTCTGTCATGTCCTCTGTCCTGTTTTCTGACATGTTCTCTGTTCTCTGTCATGTTTTCAGTTCTCTGTCCTGTTCTCTGACATGTTTTCTGTTCTCTGTCATGTTTTCTGTTCTCTGTCATGTTCTCTGACATGTTCTCTGTCATGTTCTCTGTCATGTCCTCTGTCCTGTTTTCTGACATGTTCTCTGTTCTCTGTCATGTTCTCTGTCCTGTTCTCTGTCATGTCCTCCGTTCTCTGTCATGTTCTCTGCCATGTCCTCTGTCCTGTTCTCTGACATGTTTTCTGTTCTCTGTCATGTTTTCTGTTCTCTGTCATGTTCTCTGACATGTTCTCTGTCATATTCTCTGTCATGTTCTCCGTCATGTTCTCCGACATGTTCTCCGACATGTTCTCTGTCATGTTCTCTGACATGTTACTCTGTCATGTTCTCTGTCACGTTACTCTGTCATGTTCTCTGACACGTTACTCTGTCATGTTCTCTGACATGTTCTTTGTCATGTTCTCTGTCACGTTACTCTGTCACGTTACTCTGCCATGTTCTCTGTCATGTCCTCTGACATGTTCTCTGTCATGTTCTTTGTCACGTTACTCTGTTATTTTCTCTGACATGTTCTCTGACATGTTCTCCGACATGTTCTCCGACATGTTCTCTGTCACGTTCTCTGACATGTTCTCCGACATGTTCTCCGACATGTTCTCTGTCACGTTCTCTGATATGTTCTCTAATATGTTTTCTGACACGTTACTCTGTTATGTTCTCTGTCATGTTCTCTGACATGTTCTCTGTCACGTTCCTCTGCAATGTTCTCTGTCATGTCCTCGTCATGTTCTTTGTCACGTTACTCTGTTATGTTCTCTGACATGTTCTCTGACATGTTCTTTGTCACGTTACTCTGTTATGTTCTCTGACATGTTCTCTGTCATGTTCTCTGACATGTTCTCTGTTATGTTCTCCGACATGTTCACTGACATGTTCTCTGATATGTTTTCTGTAATGTTTTCTGACACGTTCTCTGTAATGTTCTCTGATATGTTTTCTGTTATGTGCTCTGTCATGTTTTCTGTTCTCCAGTGGCCTCTCAGATTCTGAAGATTGCCAAGTGTGCGGTTTCCTGTGAGAACAAGAGTCTGGATGTGAAACCAAAAAGAATAAGCATGGATCCTGTTGTCAAGTTTGAGGTAGTGGTGCTGCACACACACACACACACACACACACACACACACACACACACACACACACACACACACACTCCTTAAGACAGGAAAAACTTGCTGCAAGCTGTGACACTGAGTCATGTAACATCTGTGTCACAAACAGAGGAGGTGATTCAGGTGCAGGAGCCTGGATGAGCTGGTCCAGGTATTAGATAACTGTACATGTGTGACGTCTGTGGACTGAGACAGAACGTCCTGTAACAGGTGTGTGAGTTGTATCACCCTTCATGCTGTCACCTGAATGCTACAGTAGTTGACTATATGAACACATGACAGTGACAGTTCAATGAGGACCACTGAGGCTTTGATAGAGGTGAGAACAGGTCAAACTGTAGACCCAGTCTGGAGCATGAAAGTCATGTGACCTGGGACTGAGTTGTGGGGCAGTTAGTTCAGCTAGAAACCAGCTGGTTGTGTAAGTGGATCTGCTGGTTCCAGTGACCACAGCTCACCTCCCAGCCTCACTGCTGATCACAGAACAATGTATCCTGTAATTCACTTGCACACTGTGTACAGTGTGTTGACACTGTGCTGACTCCCCTCTCATCACTGTGTGCTGTCATCCATACAGGTCCACCTCGATGTTTCCAGAAAGGAGATCAAGGTCTCCAACGTCCCCCCTTCCATGCCAGAGGAAAGAGTGACAGACCGGCTAGAGATGAGCTTCTCCAGGCCCAGCAGAGGAGGAGGAGAGGTGGAGGGAGTGGAGTATGATAAGAACACTGGAACAGGACACATCACCTTCAGGCACCCTGGAGGTCAGCTCCTGATTCACTTAGACAGCAGCTCATTAGACAGAGATTCTGAACTGATCCTGGTCCTGGAACTCCAGACAGGTGGATGTGAGGGAGAGTTCCGCTGTAGTGTCATAAGATCATCATACAGAACACTGACTCCTCCTGCAGGTCAGGTCCAGCTGGGACTCAGAGAATGATCAGATTCAAATGTTCAGCTCTAATTAAATCATTACAGCAACAGGTGGAAGAAGAGTGAGGATAGAAATGATCAAGCAGGATAAGGATGAAAAATATGAGAGAGCTGGAGGGAGGGAGGATCTGAGGTTCAGCAGGTGGAGGTCTCACTAACACAGGTGACTAACGGCAGGGTAAAGTAGTGCAGGAGCAGCCTGTAGTGATTTCACAGTCCACTGATCATCCATTGGGATTCAGGGTGCAGGGAGCCAAGTACACTTGGGTAATGTTGTGTTCAGGCTCAGGGCTCACATTATTATACAGTATAGGTGGGTGTGTCAGAAGTTGTGACCAATCACAGGACTATCTGTCCCGCCTCCTCTGTGGAAACTTGCTGTTGTAGCGTTTTAAAATCTGAACACAGCAGCTCAGATACCCTCCAGAGAGCAAATGTTGAATTGACCTTTGAATTGACTTGTCCAGGTTGAAGGTGTTATGATATGTGTTTTCTGTGCACAAACATTTAATTGATCATCCAATGATCCACAACCATGTTGTTAGATACGTCCTGAGAGCCACATGTACAGTGAACGCACCACTAAAGACACAGTCTGTTTTTTATGTTGTATTTCTTTATTTCTGAAAAGGGTTTAACATTTCATTCAGGGAACTGATGAAATAGCTTTATTTACATCATCTTCATTTCATTCATCATCCTGCTATGATCCACAAATAAAGTAGAACCACTCTAACCTGCAGTCTCTAACACGTCATGTGATTACACCACAGAGCAACTTCAATGACCATAGAGAACGCTTGTCCCCACCCTTTGATATGAGCCATCATACCAGGAGCAGTTTTCCTAGTTTCTATCCTGTGTCTCTGTGACACTAGATTAAAAGTGGGGAAAATGTATTTTTCATTTGGGGTATTTAAGATGTAATAACATCAAGTACGTTTTTCTAGCATTATTGAGTTGACATGTTATATCTAACGTTGTGTAAAGGTAAAATAAATAAAAGTGTGAGCGGATAATTACATAGACACAAGCCTATCATTGGGAAGCATCAGCTCCATCATGGGGACAAGCCTGCATTTCTCCTCCGCTAGCATAACTGCCAGCTTCAGCTCTAGGCTCCAACATGTACAGCCTCACTTCAAAACCATCTTCCTCATGGTCATCTTCCTCCATTTCAACCCCTGTCCGATTCATCCATAAGGTCCGCAGGCGTAGGCAAAGGTAGTAGATTTTCATATTCACAAAGCTATTGGCTACTGTGAACTCCAATCAATATCTGTGACATGTCCCTCCCTAGCCTCGTGTTTTTACCAGAAACACTTCAGTTCACAGGTGTTCACACTGAAACCAGAGGCAGGATTGAGAAGAAGCAGATCTAATAGAAACCAACCTGCTGAGCATCAGTGTGTGACTGATGTGTTCATGCTCATGTGTGTTTGTGTCACTGTAGTTGCTGAGAGCTTGGCCCTGAGAGGGAGGTACCGTGTGGATCTGGACTCTGACGTCAGCGTGCAGGTCGGACCCATTTACAAATACAAGCTGCGCAAGTTTCAGGTAAGATATAGGACTGAGACTGGTCACCATCACCAGCTGCTGAGCTGGGGTCAACAGTAACAGCTGATCAGATATTGATCACCAGCTGCTGAGCTGGGATCAGTGGTAACAGAACCAGACTCTGAAGAAGCTGATGTTCTGATCCCTTTCAGACCTTCTGCGGCTTTCCGAAGCGAACCATCCTCCTCGATGACATCGGGGACACTTCAGACGAGGAGGACCTGCAGGATCATCTGGAGATCCACTTCCAGAAGCCCAGTAACTGTGGCGGTGAGATAGAGAGCATCAAGTACCTCTCTGGAGGAAAAGCTGCCCTGGCCTTCTTCTGTGAGGAGGAGAGAGCCGAGTGACTGTCACCAACATGTGAGCCCAGTCCTCACATCAGTCCAGAGTCTGTGATTAAAGAAATCTGAATATTCTTCTCCCTAACTGAAGTTAAGCCTTTTATTCACTGTCCTGCTGAGTCAGATGATTTAGTTCACCAGTCTTTGATCTGTGTTTTCACATCACATGATGAGGGGAGTCTAGGTAGTGTTTAAAGCTGTGTTTGCTTTTTTCTTCTACACTGTGCTTATTAAAAGATCTGAATCACAGGTGTGGTGTGTTGTTAATGACTCAGACTGTGGATACACACCTGTGTGTGCCAAAATAATAATAATAATGATAATAAAAATAATTTTTTTTTTTTTGGTTGAGTTTCTGCACAACCAGCACCGTTATAACTTTGGTTATGCTCAACAATTGTGATTGATATACATGGGTCAACCCTGCAGCAAAGGAGTCATTAGATTTGACTATCAAATACAAAAGGATAGTTTGATACTTTTTTCGTCAGCTAGATAAAACATTTCTTTTCTTTAAATTTGCAGGCTGTATGTTTATGAATCATACAGGATAGACTGATATGGTTATTTATGGAGAGGTTTGAAATTGTGCATTGTCATATTAATAATGTAGGCTATCAATCATATTGTACATATCTAAATTATAAAATAAATAATCCTCAGCCCTAAATCTAAGTGAATGGATGGAATATTAGCATGATCAATCTGCTGATTACTGCCTTGTTACCTATATTGATTATTGTATAAAATATACACTAGCCTAGACTATAATATTGGCTACAATTGATACAGTAGTCACATACAGCAATATATGTAGCTTCTAAAGCTGCTGTTTAAAATCAGACAGAGGACAACATGCAGCAAAGGGCCACAGGTCAGACTCTGACCGGGATGCTATGGTTAAGACTAAGTCTTTATGGTATACACTCTACCAGGTGAACCACCGGAGCACCATACTGCTGACTTTACCAGTACTGGGTAACCATACATGTATTTTCTCCCAGCACACAGAGCTCAGCAGTTACTGCTCATTGATAAACATCTCCAGTCCACTTGTAGGATATAACTGGTTTGGTTTGACTTATCATCACATTATTCACAGCACTTTGAGGACATGGTTTATTAATGAAATGACATTTGATTTTAAAATACGGGACGATCCTGTATGGGACAGGTGGCAACCCTGTCTGAGTGATCACCTATGTAGCGGACATACCTGGCCTGGCATCAGTCACAAGGAAGTTTATTATAAGGACATGTAGAGTTACGGACCCACAGTGACACTTTGTGACTCTTCCCACCATCAAACTATTAAATTGATAGGGAACAGAGACAAAGGACCCTTATCTCACAAACAGTCCATGCTTTTAGCATGCCAGAGAGAGACAGAACCAGACCAAAGGTAAAAGGGTCAGCTCCAGAGGATCAACCAATGGACACCGGGCAACTGGAGAATATAGGCAAAATCTCCAGTTTGTAACAATAAGACTCTGTCTAATGATATTTGATTGTTTCTTTTATAGGACAAGTAACAAGGTGTGAATCCTGGCCTGTCTGTGCCATGTATGAACACACACACCAACCTCCCTTCCTCTGTCCCTCTCTAGATAAGAGTCATAAACTGCAACCTGCATACCAATCCTGGGTAGTGACCAGCAGAACTCTCTTCACAGACACAGATCTAAGGAAGAATGTAAAATTAAATATCTAGCTGTTCTGTAACTCATGAGATGTTCCTATGCGATAGTTTAATCCCAAACTTCTATCCCATAGAATGTTTGAAATGTAACATGTAGATTTTAGACAATGTCCTTCATGTGACCATACTGTCAGCATCCTTCACACGAGGTAATTACATGACATCCAGAATGTCCATTATTATTATTACAGTCAAAGAACTGATGTGTAATCCACATTTATAGACTATTAGCTTTGGGAAAAGTTTATATTGTTTTTTGATCAGTTAACCACTTGTATCATGATTAATTCCAGGTTTGAAGGATGTAATATGAAATCAACACTCCTATTACTCCTATCTTGCCATTATTAGTGCCACGGGTGCTCAGCTCCAAGGCACTCCTCTACAGCTAGAATAGCTGAGAGGAGTGCCTCGGGGCTTCGGGCTTTATTAATTATTCTTCCGCAAAATTTGGTGCGTACCTTTTTTCTTGAGTCACCCAGCTCTCTCATACCTGCACGTAGAAATGTGATTCAAAACTATAAAACGGAGGAAAACTTCTGCTCTCTCCAAAACACACCAACTGTTTTTTACATAACATGTAAACTTTTCAAACTATGAGCACTCAAAGGAGGAGTGGAAATCACTTTTTCTTCAAAGTTAGAAGTGACAGCGTCAGTTGGTTAGAGTGCGTGAAGCAGTAATAAAAGTAACCTTTATTTTATTTTTAACTTGAGCTCACGGCCAAACGTAAAAAGGAGACAATAATTCTTTCTCAAAATGTTAGACATAGTTGTGTGGGATTTATAAATGTAACTTTGACAGGCAGGTCTGCACAAAAATTTAAACGGGGGTGCCGAGTCCGGCCAGCAATACCTGTCTCTCTCTATTGACACTAATGTAATTCGTCTTTTTTTTTTTTCAAAAGAATCTCACTCTGTCTTCGCACTGAGCTTACTCACTCATTTTAAGGAATATCTGAAATAAATAGAGACTGTAAGAAACTTCTGGCTTCAGTGTCTGTCACGGTGTTTTCGGTTTTTTGAAAAGAAGTAACGGTTTTCTCATAATTTGCAATTGTTTTAAGCCATGTAGACAAATTCTGGTTCTATTTTCACATTGCCATGGCAACGGCAGCTCCTGACTGTGTGCGTGCCTAGCAACCAGATAACCAACTCTCCAAGCTCCGCTAGCTTTACATTAGCCGGCATGTTAGGTCTTAAATTACAATTAGGTTAGGTCTTAAATATGTAAGTCCATTTACTGCTTCCTTTGTTGCTTTTCTTTTTGTTTGTTAAATGAGTGAATGAAGTTGTGACGGTCTCCGCTGAGACAGAGGAGAGGAGAAGCTACTAGCCCTCTCTCACTGTCACTTCTTGTCACGTTGCTCTCCTCCCCAGTAATGTTAAATTAAGCACCGAAAAAAACATAATAGTGGTAATTTAAATAGCAGTTCATGGGATTTATTAACCCTCAGGGGTCCCTCTGTCCTTTTTTGGACATTTTCTTCACTTTTCTTTTTTGATTTGCTGATCATTTTGGCTGTGTTACAGCTGAAGGTATGGATTTCTGCAAGAAAGTGTCTTTTTTGACATATTTTTAAAATCTAATGTCAGTTACTGTTACAGGTCTATTATACACTGGTAACACATTTTGTACCCTCTGGGGTTCCTCGCGTCCAAAAAAGGACACACAAAGAAAATGCTATAAAATCATCATATATCAATATTTTTTTCTGCTTTTTTTTGCATACATCTCTTAAACCACTTCAGTTCTGCTCAAACCTACCAAATGTTTATTAGTTTTCAGGATTTTAATCCTTTAAATGCCAGTTTGAAGACATGTTGCCTCTTGTTTTATAAAAAAAAACAACACAGAATATGAGATATTTCCCACATAATACATGATGGAGGGATGTGACATTGTTTTATGTCAGAGTCTTTTATATCAAGACATTTCTCAAAACCAGAATATGATCAGGGTGACTTTTGAACACTGGAAATAAATCATGTACTCATCCCAGCAGTAGCCCCCGTGGCACTCAAAATTTCCCTGGAATTTTCTAGTTTCATTTAATATTTTGTGGTCATGGTGGAAGACGGATATGCGAGTTTATAGGTAAACTATAGGATTAAATTATGCAAAAGTTCAGTGGAAAATTACTGTCTTCTCCAAGTGCAAACACAGGAGAAGACGGGTGACGCTCCTGAAACATGCGCCAGCCCCCAGGGGATAAAACAGTCATGACCAATTCACACATGGTCAGAACGTAAGAAGAAGGAAAAAGGCCCAGATGACAAGACTTAGAAGAAGTATGTAAAGATTAGAGATGCTAAGAAGGAAGAAGATGCGAGAAGCAAGAAACGAAGCTAAACGCTAGAGGCTGAAAAGCTGAAGCTAGAAAACGATGCAGAAACTAGAAGCTGAGAACTTTGCTCAAAGCTCAGAGTCCCGGCTCAAAGCCCGGCTCTGTAGCCATGTAAACTCTTAGCTCTAAGCTGCTAGCCACAAACTCATGGCTCTTAGTCATCTTTGCACTTTTCGCGTCTTTTGTTTTTATTTACCACAAGCTCCAAGTAACATTATTTTTGTCTACATGCGCGATTTTTAAATTTTATAATCCAAGTCAAGACCAACTGAACCAAAACAACAGAAGTGCCTCAGAGTAATTTTGTAACTTTTAAATCATCAAGTTTTCCTTTTTGAAGATTTTGACAACTTTAGAGTTATCTGGTCAAAGTTATCCAGCCAAAGTGAAGCGCATTAGAGTTTATTTCGCATCAACCCACAAGAGATCCCGGACACCTCTGCACGACTGCCTGCAGAGAAGCTGAGCAGAAATCAAAAGCGCCCGAGACAGAACATCTCCTGGCAAACTCCACCAGAGCTGAATCGCTGAGACACCGGCAGAATCCGTCATCGTGATAACGGGACACGGCCTCCAGGAGAATCCACCTAGATCCCGTGTCTCCTGGGTTACCACGGCAACCACAGCCCACCTGGGTTCCAGCCAAGGGTCTTCAGCTACAGTGCAACTCACAGTAGGCCGGTCTTAACACTCTGCTCATGACTGGGTTGATGTCGAAATATAGCAATATTTAATCATCAAACCTAATTTGTAGATGTAGTATCATTAGCTGTATAGCCATAGTGTATAGCCATAACATATTCTTTCCCACCATTGCCAACTCATCACACTGCTTATTTCATTATTATTTTCATCTTTATGATTATTACACCTTGCATTTACTCTGTAGATAGTAGTTTAGTTAAATAAACTCCTTTATTTACACCCAGTTGTTGTCCTGTTGTATTTTTTTGACGTAGAGACTGGAGATCCATTGAATCGAAAAGTCATGGCTTCCGATATGAGATTGATAAATTTGGCAATGAAGTAATTCATTGCTGTCCTCCCAGAGGACTGGTGCCCCATTTCAACGAGAGTAAATTCTAAAATATGGCGTTAACGCTACACCTCAACAGAGGGAACAGTGGTCTGGCATCATCTGAACTGGAGACTCCTCATGAAGACCTGCAGTGACAGAGGGTTTCATTCAGTTGAGTTTTGTTATGAGACCCTCCAACAAGTCTCAGGTCTGTGGACCAGTGTCTCCACAGTGTTAATGTGGCTGTTAGTGTGCAGAGAGCTGATGGAGCCTTAGGTCTCTTACTCTGAGCAAAAGTACAAATACTCATGTTGAGTCAAAACAACAACATACAAGTTAAACTTCTGATTTCTTACCATCATTTAGACTTAAAAAGGAGAATATTTGACATAATATCTCACATTACCACTTCATGTCACATTTTCAACATCATACTAAACTTTGTTTTTCCTGGTAGAAATACATCAAAAGTAACTGACTCATTTCCTTCACCTAAATCTAAATGTGACAGCTGACAAAGAGCTGAACCAGCAGTGGTTTTGCAGGAAACGTCACAGAATCAACTACAGTGTCAGTGAAGGGTCATTTACTGACGAATGTGGATTGTCAGTGCAGAAGTTCTCAGGATGTTCTCAGATTTTCATCACCTGTTTTCATCTCAGGATAACAGGACAGACAAAATATCAGCAGGAAGGATTCACTGCATGCAAACCTTTAATACCCAGACACGAAGGAAAGCACTGCTTCACCTACCTCAAAGGATAAGTGGAGTGTTTGGCTCCCAGTCATATTACAAAAACACACACAGAGAAGGTCAGGCTTCAGATAATGAAGCTCATCAGTCCACGCTCATTTCCTGCTTGTTTTCACAGTTGAACCAGTACCAGTCCCTGCTCATGTGATGGTGTCCTCTGGAGCAGGCTGAGGTTCTCATATCACAACAAATACAAGGTAAAAACAGACAATAAAACAGTCAAAGACGCCCGAACATGTCTCTGTCCCAGTTCAGAGGTCCTGAGGAAGGGAATCTGGATCAGGAAAAACATCTGGAGGTGGTCTGCATACCTAATGGGAACACTGAGGTCAGATAACTGAGGTCCAATCACTGAAGTAAAGTGTCCTCGGCCAAGTTGATGAACTAAAATGACTAAATTATTCATTGTTAATTAATTGTATAAATGTGTGAGAATGGGTGAATGTGTAGTGTGAAGTTCTTTGAGTGGTCCATAAGACTAGAAAAGCTGTGTATAAGTGCGGTTCATTTACCATTTATTCTTGTGACATGTATATAAAGGCAGGCCGTGCTGACCTGGATCTGGATCAGGACACTGGAAGTCACAGTACTCTGTGCCGGAGTCACATTAGTCTGTACTGGGAGTCACAGTATTCTGTACTGGAGTCACATTAGTCTGTACTGGGAGTCACAGTAGTGAATGGGTGAATGTGTAGTGTGAAGTTCTTTGGGTGGTCCATAAGACTAGAAAAGCTGTGTATAAGTGCGGTTCATTTACCATTTATTCTTGTGACATGTATATAAAGGCAGGCCGTGCTGACCTGGATCTGGATCAGGACATTGGGAGTCACAGTACTCTGTGCCGGAGTCACAGTATCATGTACTGGAGTGACAGCAGTTGGTACTGGAGTCACAGTAGTCTGCTCTGGAGTCACAGTAGTCTGTACTGGAGTCACAGTATTCTACACTGGAGTAACAGTAGTCTGTACTGGAGTCACAGTAGTCTGTACTGGGAGTCACCGTAGTCTGTACTGGAGTCACAGTAGTCTGTAATGGGAGTCACAGTAGTCTGTACTGGGAGTCACAGTATTCTGAATTGGAATCACGTTAGTCTGTAGTGGGAGTCACAGTAGTGAATGGGTGAATGTGTAGTGTGAAGTTCTTTGGGTGGTCCATAAGACTAGAAAAGCTGTGTATAAGTGCGGTTCATTTACCATTTATTCTTGTGACATGTATATAAAGGCAGGCCATGCTGACCTGGATCTGGATCAGGACATTGGGAGTCACAGTACTCTGTGCCGGAGTCACAGTATCATGTACTGGAGTGACAGTAGTACCTACTTGAGTCACTGTAGTATCTACCGGGAGTCACAGTATCCTGTACTGGAGTAACAGCAGTTGGTACTGGAGTCACAGTAGTCTGCTCTGGAGTCACAGTAGTCTGTACTGGAGTCACAGTATTCTACACTGGAGTAACAGTAGTCTGTACTGGAGTCACAGTAGTCTGTACTGGGAGTCACAGTATTCTGTACTGGGATTCACAGTAGTCTGTACTGGGAGTCACCCAAGTCTGTACTGGAGTCACAGTAGTCTGTAATGGGAGTCACAGTAGTCTGTACTGGGAGTCACAGTATTCTGAATTGGAATCACGTTAGTCTGTACTGGGAGTCACAGTAGTGAATGGGTGAATGTGTAGTGTGAAGTTCTTTGGGTGGTCCATAAGACTAGAAAAGCTGCATATAAGTGCGGTTCATTTACCATTTATTCTTGTGACATGTATATAAAGGCAGGCCGTGCTGACCTGGATCTGGATCAGGACACTGGAAGTCACAGTACTCTGTGCCGGAGTCACATTAGTCTGTACTGGGAGTCACAGTATTCTGTACTGGAGTCACATTAGTCTGTTCTGGGAGTTACAGTAGTCTGTACTGGAGTCACAGTAGTCTGGACTGGGAGTCACAGTATTCTGTACTGGAGTCACAGTAGTCTGTACTGGGAGTCACAGTAGTCTGTACTGGAGTCACAACAGTCTGGACTGAGAGACACAGTAGTCTGGACTGGGAGTCATAGTATTCTACACTGGAGTCAGAGTAGCCTGTACTGGGAGTCACCGTAGTCTGTACTGGAGTCACAGTAGTATCTACTAGAGTCACAGTAGTCTGTACTGGAGTCACAGTAGTATCTACTGGGAGTCACAGTAGTCTGTACTGGGAGTCACAGTATTCTACACTGGAGTCACAGTAGTCTGTACTGGGAGTACAGACTCATGCTCAGATATCTTTAACTTATGTTGTGTATAACAGGAATAACTACATAGACACAGCGCTTTTTGTTTTGAAATCCTTTTTTTTCTGTTTTTTTCCAAAGTCAATGAGAAATCGCGCTGAATAATCGTGATCTCAATATTGATCAAAATAATCATGATTTTGATCAATAATGAATAAATTGAATTGAATGATTGAATAATGATTTTTGCCATAATCGAGCAGCCCTTGTCTGTACTGGAGTCAAAATAGTCTTTTCTGGGTCAGAGTAGCCTGTCCTGGGAGTCACAGTATTCTGTACTGGAGTCACAGTAGTCTGTACTGGAGTCAAAGTAGTCTGTACTGGGAGTCACAGTATTCTGCCAGTCCATTGTCTCCATAAGGTCTGCTGGGCACCAAATCAGTCGTCACACCTGCTCCATGTTGAGATGAAGTCCAGACCTTAAAACAGACGGTCCACGTGCTGAGTCCACTCCAGCACTGTCCTCTGGTGAGTGTTTTACATGAGAGCACAGCTTTTAGCTTTGGTCTGCTGATAGTGAGTCGTTACTCCAGTGGACACGTCTCTCCCACTGTGAGACGTCCTCTTGGTGGCTCTGGAGGACTTCCTCCTCTTCATGTTCTTGCTGTTCTCATTGATGCAGGCCAGCGTGGCCACGTGAAAGATGTCTCTGACACTGTTCTCAGACTGCAGAGACGAACACTCCAGGTAGGGGGCGCTCAGCTGCTTGGCTGTGTTGGAGCCCTGGGAAAGGAAACAACAGGTCAGAGTTTGTACTGATAATTGGTTGGTTAGTCCAGGGGGAGAGTCAACAGTGTGGAGGTTTTGTGGGAAGGGTGGGGGTCTTGCGTGAGCTGATCAGACTGCTGGCTCTCTCAGAGTCGGATATCCCTGGATCAACAACAGTTCATCAGACAATCAACTCACAGCTCAGGTTATTTAATTACGATCAGCTGATTGTGTTTATATCTGGACCACATCCATGAAGAAGAGTGTGCTACACCTTCATCACCAACCAAAAACAACCATGATGACACACAACATATGAAAATGTGACACCTTCCTCACACATGGATAATGATGGTCTTGATGAAGAGTTTCAAACCAGAACCAGGTTCAATAGAATCAGACTGATTTGATCCTGACCCACCTGATCATAGGAGACTGGAGTGTGTCTGCTGTGGGACCTGGTGAAGAGGTCTGTGCGCAGGTCTGACTTACAGCCCACCAGCAGCACCTTGGTGTTGGGACAGAACTCTTGGACCTCTGCTCTCCACTGGACAGAGGGAACCAAGAGCAGAACATTATACCACATAATTTACCCAAAACCATGTTCATGGGAGGGAACGTTAGAAACTCTGAGGATATACCCTCTCTTCTTTTCAAATAACCACTGTGAACTATTCAACATCTGTCACAAGTCACTGATCTATCACTGGAGGAACTCACACCTGTCATCTGCACCCCTCATCAGGCTCCCATGACATTATTCCAACTTCTTTTCTTAGACCTGGTCTTAGTTCTTCACTCCATTGTAAGCAGCTCTCTTAGCTCTGGCTGTGACTATTCACTTGCTTTTAAACAGCAAATGAATTCCCCACATTTGGCTCCAAACAACGTAAGATTTATAGTGACACGTGAACTTATTCTACTTTTCTTGTAAGAATCTGTTTAATGTTAATGTTAAAACTGAATGTTACATTTAATCTGATGTTAATGCTGTTGATCTCATAATGCTCCACCTATAGACATCTCTCTGCGGTGAGAATAGTTTTAAATGCAACACCAGGTAAAATACTGACAGACAGCTCCAAACTGTGTGTGTCTAATCTTGTATCATTTAACAGCCTCGTCCAAAACCTCTGCAGAACAAGCATCTGAATACAGAATAAGAGGAGACCCAGGACAGATCCCTGCAGGACCTCAGAACAGGAAGCACTCTCCTCACACTCACCTTCTTGAGGACGCTGTCTAATGTCTCTGGTCTGCTGATATCAAAGCAGATGAGGACTGCATCAGCGTCAGGGTAGGAGAGAGGACGCACGTTGTCGTAGTAGGGAGAACCTTTAAAGAGACATCTGCTGGTCAGTAAACATGGTTCCAGAGTAATGGAGGTGTCGTTCAGAGACTCTGAAGTTTCTCAGACATCACTGTGATGTATGTGACAGTCAGTCAGAGATGAACTGGAGGTTGTCATTACACTCACTGTCTACTGTCATAGAGTCAGTAATTTCCTGTTTTCAAATTTAATTATGTGTTTGGTTCACCTGGTTAATCTGTGCCATTCAAATGGCCCTGTTTGAAACCATCTCTGTTTTCTACTGAACAACATGATGATCATCAGGTCTGAAGGTCTGTGTAGCAGCTTTTTACATGATCTCTGGACTAGGTTATAGAAGCTGTGTTACGGCTGTAAGAACACAGGCTGTGGTCGACGACATATTCTGATACTGGACTGTTAGACAACGTGGTTCACAACAATAACGGAGGCTCAGATGTGATGCAGACATGGTGCAGATGTGATAATGGAATTCTGAAAGTAATAAACCTCCAGACAAGCCAGGACTGGATTAATGCTATGACTAGCTACACCATGATCAGTGTTAATATACTGTGTCTTTACCATGGTCAACAGGACCTGATCAGACCAGGTATTAACATGTGTGACCAGGGCATCCATTTAGTGTGTTAGCATACTGTCATACAAACTAGCACCTAACACACAGTGAAGCAGAGGCTGATCGGAACACCATTAGCTTTGACCATATCTGCTCATAAACCAGAACACTGACACTCACCCACAGAAGAGTTGTACCTCAAAACCATGAGTAGATGTGAAGATACCTGACCTGCTGATGTCATAAGGATCTGTCCTCTGGAGACCAAACACAACCCTCACCACAAAACACACAGATATCACACCCACACCACTGTGACCACAGCTCAGGGAGAAGGGGGTCCACATTACTGTGGACCAGCAGGAGCTGGGTCAGTCTGCTCTCAGCTGCATGAATGAGACAGGTCCAGTCCTGCAGGGAAAATCCAACTCTCTCTGCTCAGGAGACAGGGATGCCTACACAAGAGCGAGGGCAGACCTGGGAAGAGGCATCAAAGCTGCTAAACAAAAGTACAAACAGCGCATTGATGTGGCAAAGTATCAAGACCCTCACTGACTACAAACAAAGCCACAGAAGAAATGCTTTGAGACTGGTCCTGTCCCACATCAAGGCCCACATATTGACCACACACACCACACTGGGCTGTGCAACAATGGGGAGGAGGTTGAGCAGGTTGAGAGTTTCAAAAACCAGGGAGTCCAAATATCAGAAGACCTGACCTGGAGTGTGAACACTGCACTCTTGGTCAACAAGGCCCAACAAGCCTCTTCTTCCTGAGGACCCTAAGGCGCAACAAACCTGTGAACCGCTGATCAACTTTTACCACTGTGTGACACAGAGCATCTTAACATTCTGTTGCACAGTATGTTCCTTGAGCTGTACTGAAGAGGATAGACCTGCAGCAGGTCCTGAAGACGGCGCAGTGGGTTGTTGGCTCCCCTTTATCTAAACTGAGAGACAACCACTCCTGCCGTCTCTGCAGAGGGGCGGGCAGTATCAGGACCTCTGACCCCCAACCCCCCGGAATATAAACAATAGATAAACAATGACCGACCTGTTGCCTCAGAGATTGACCGACTTTGTCTCATGACCTGTTGCAGCTATACCTGTGCAATAATACAGCTATACTGTGCAATATTGATAATTCATAGTTTATAATTATAGTTATATCATTGGTGTTATGTGTATATTTTAATTTAACTATATATTTGAATGATTTTAGCCTTCATTATTTGAATATATCCTGCCAAGAGCATTGCTGCCAAACTTATTTTGTTGTGTTTTTGACAGTAAAGAATCTATCCATCTATCCACAGTCACCACAGTATCTTTCCACAGCCCTGTGACCTGAATCCGTTCAATGACAGTGCTGGGTGGACGCCTCAGGTTACTGAAGCTGTTAAAGTCTGGGATCTCATTAGATCATGTAGCATGACTCAGTCTGGAACCCTGCATCATCAACAATTGTGTAACTGTATTTTTTTATATTTCACGTCTGGCTGCAGGACACAGAGGTGTGACTGACAGTCTCTCACTAACTAAAGAGAGACATGTCATTATTAATATGTCATAGATCTGATACACCATCTACAACACACACACACACACACACACACACACACACACACACACAGGTCTCTGTCCTGTCCAGTCCAGTCCTGCAGAATATAGGTTCCTGCTTTTCCCGTTTTAAAATGAGCTCCTGATACGACAGAGGAAAATATCACCTGCTGTCTCCGGACATATCTTAGTTTTATTTGACAAATATCAGATATCCATTCATACATGAAGCCACTACACACACAGGAAGCTGAGAGTTGTATCTCTGGTATAATGTATCCTCATAACCAGTCTGTACAGTGGATCTTCATTCATGGTAAGACTGATATAAGCTCTTCTGTCACTGTGAGAAAGGCAGGGCTTTTAGTCTGCTTTTATTTTGCAGGCCCACACTGACACTCAAGATGGAGGTCACAGGCACATCATTGTGTTAGAAATTGTTTGACTGTTTATCTTCTGTTTTAACTGATGACTGAACAGATGGAGACACTACTATCATCTGTAACTACAGTAACTAAGGTTTTGTACATAAGGATGCAGAAAAAAGTGTAACTTAGAGAGAACTGATCAGATCTAGTTCCAGTGAGGCCTGACACAGGTGGCAGACCATGTTCAGGATCAGTAGAGTCTTCACACATATATAGGTGAAGACTACAGACTGGTCTAATTTGGGATACAGTGCAGAAATCTGTTGACACTATGTGATACCTGGGTCATACAATCTGTAGGACTTGGAGGTACTCTGGTTCCCCTGCTGACATTCTGCTGCTCACCATTTTCTGCGTTCAGTCATTCAATGAACACAGACTGTGTCACATCACTCATTTCTTTGACCATATGTACACACGGTTTTCCAAAGTGATCCCAGTTACAGTGAAGTATGCCTCATTAAGACTCTCTAGTCCCAATAAATGAAGTTCAGAGTAAAACAGGACTTTACATTTGGACACTGATGCACATTTTTGCGTCACATTCGTAAGTTCCCCAATTTCACAATCAGTGAAATTGTGCTTCTTTGTCATCTTTCTTTTCTGTACCATGCCTGCTAAGTAAGCCTCAACCTCCCATGCTGTGAGCTGAAGTCAACACTGAAGAACAAAAAACTACAGTTCCTCTAATGACCACTATAGTCTGGCTCCAACAGTCAGTCAATCCCCATAAGCCGTGTTTCGACCAAAATGTTCTTTCTTCAGGAACTAAAAGGTTCCTGTGGCCCATTGTTGTCTGCATTTCCACCATTATAACTTGACATTACATTATTCACAGCACTTTGAGAACATAACATGAACGAAAATATGAGACAAATTGCGACCCGTATATATTCAATACAGGACGCAGAATTTTATTTTTAAATACAGGACAATTCTGTATTTTACATGACGGGTGGCAACCCTAGCCACTCCAGTTGTTGCGGTCCTTTATTTTGTTGAAGTCCTGTTTCACTTTTTTTATCTTCTCCCGGACCTGTTTCACAGTGTGGAAAATGTGTTTGCTCACTCGGTGCTCGCTCACTGCATACTTTTAAAGATGGCGCGTGAAATAAAATGCAGCGAGTACTCGACCAGTCAGAAATGTTCAGCACTGCAGACCACACCCCCCAAAGTTCTTGAACCTTTGGAAAGTACTACCCCCGCAGCCAGGTATCTTTTTGGGGGTCGATCAATTACCCTGGAACTAAATTTAGACCCTGGTTCCTGCGGTGGAAACGCACATATTTCCCCCAACAGTTCCTGGTTCCTGGGGAAAGTTCCTGCGGTGGAAACATGGCTATAGTCTCCCATTTTATAATGTCCAACTTTACAGCAGAAATAAACATGTTTACAGCCTGGTACAACAACATTTTTGGTCTCTAGAGTAGATTTCCTCTGTGACGACCCTTTCCATTCTCCAGGCATGTTGCCTCACTCTTTTCTTGTAGTTCTGGGAGTTGGCTGGAAGTCAGAGCTAGGAGGGTGGCTAGTTATACCTTCCCATTTGGGCAGGACCTCCAAAAGGCATAAAGGTCCGCCCCTCTGGTAGTCTCTCTCTCTCAGCTGGTCCTGCTGCAGCCACTACAGCCTGTTTCTCTCTTTGTTTGGTTTGTTGCATTTTACAACACACATTACACCATATTTTCACTCATCCACACACCTCTGACACGACTGATGACTCTCTTACTTACACACCCCATTTGTTAGTTACCTTGTGTTGGGAATCGTCATTCAAGAGACCAGATGTTTCTTTGCTCCACTGGACAAAGGAACTCACACCCCACAGTTCCTCACTGTTCACACTTGGGGACGACCCCCCCCCTCTAACCCACCCCAACGGACCTCACTGTGTGGGTCAACGTGTGACATGTGACCCCTTAGGGTGTCACCAAACAAAACCAGATCTCTTGTCCCTCTCCTCTCTCTTCTCTTTTTGGCTTGCTCTGGAGAGCAGCTCCTGCTCTCTCCTCTCGGCTCTTCAAAGGGCAACAAGGCCCCAGCCCAGGTCAGCTCTGCTACCTGAGAAACCAGTTCTCTCGCCGGCCTGCTCACAGCAGCCTGCAAACACTCTCAACAATCAGCAGCTACGACACAAGGCCACTGGACTTTACAACAACACTGGAAAGGACCTCTTTGTTTGTTCCAAGGACTGGGTAATGTTAACTGATTGGGCCTAACCTTTCCCACCACAGCATAGCACAGCACAGCATAGCTAAGCAGCAGAAGTCTTAACTTTGTTAATGTACTTGTTGATTGATGTCTTGTTGTTGTAATGTTGGCTTAGGTTGTGGTCAGTCATACAGTTAATCGGGTACTTGTATGTTCACACACATAGTAGTACGTAGTACTAGATTAGACATTGTGTTTTTACTCCGCTCCATTGTAAATAAATGTCTTTAAGTATAACTACTGGTGT